AAGTGCTGGATTGGCTAATCTCAAGCTTCCAGCAGGAGTTGATGCAGGGCCAGAAGGTATAGAGACCACCGGCTGAATGTTTAGATGAGTGGCTGACTGGATGGGTGACAACACTGGAGCCTGAACTGGTGACAAGGCTAATGACTGAGCTACTAACAGAGCTACTGACTGAGCTATGGACTGCAATAAAGGTTGTAGTGATGTTGGTTGTGATGGTGGTTGAGTGGCTGACAGAACTGAAGACTGAGCTACAGGTAGCGGGACTGATTGTGGTGGAGGTATAATAGGTGGTGGAGTGGACTGAGCTAGAGGCAGCTGAACAGGGGACTGAGCAAACGGCAACATAGATGACTGAACTGAGGGGGACTGAAGTAATGGTTGAGGTGAAAATGGTGGTGGAGTGGGCCGCCCGGCCCATTTCTGGGATTTCACAGAACCCAGGATTCAAATCATGAATACATAATGGGCTTGCATTGACAACATTTTGAATGAAATGTGCTGTTTGGAAGCAGCTGGCCCCGCTCCCCTGTCGACAGGTTGTGTGTGAGACTTTAAGTCATCAAACTGTAAATTATAAATTTTAAATTGTAACTGATCCCTTTACCCCTAGTCATGAAGTGTACGTGAACATGTGACGTGTGTGTGTGTGATTGTGTGTCTGTGTAGAAAACAGAGGTGAGCATTCATGCTAAAGATCTAATCATCTTGCACAATGACAACCCTATTGATCCACACCTCTAACAGCAAAGATGACAATAAAGTTTACTTTGACTTCAGCACATTCTATACACTTTTTGTGTATTGAATTTTGAAAAAAAACATTGGTGCAAATTATAAGTCTGTATCATGATGTCTGGTGTTTTCGTGTTTGTTGGTTTGTTTTTATTTAGTTTTATTTTGCGAGCTGGTTATTAGATGCTGCTCCAGCCAGCCATAGAATCCCCCGCCGCCCCGCCCTCTCGTTCCTGTCCCGCAAGCAACAGGCGCACCTTGCAAACAGAGTGCGCCCTTACTCCCAGCAAATGAGCGATAGAAAACCGATCAGTGCCTATGCCATCCCCAAAATGCGCTGGCATGATGTCGGGGTAGCATAAGTTCGAGCAACGTTTTTTTTTGCCAATGCCCGTGATGCTGCCCCCACCACAATGCAGCCCTGGGCAACCGCCCATGTAGCCCATGTCAAAAACTACTACTGCTTGTTATTAACCTCTGTCTCTCTTCCACAGCATGTCTTTATCCTGTTTTCCTTCTCTCACCCCAATCGGTCACAGCAGATGGCCCCGCCCCTCCCTGAGCCTGGTTCTGCTGCAGGTTTCTTCCTGTTAAAAGGAAGTTTTTCCTTCCCACTGTCGCCAAAGTGCTTGCTCATAGGGGGTCATATGATTGTTGGGTTTTTCTCTGTGTATTATTGTAGGGTGTGCCTTACAATAAAGTGCCTTGAGGCGACTTTTGTTGTGATTTGGTGCTATATAAATAAAATTGAATTGAATTGAATTGAAGAATGGATGCCTTGCTGGATTCTTTGTTTCTTCTTACACATTGTTTTTAAAAGTTAAATCATTACAAAATCATGAACATAATATATACAATATATATATATATATATATAAATCCCTTCAAACCCTATGACTGCTATAACAAAAGCTCTAGCAGTAACTTTAAATTGAAATTTGGTTTGCTGATGCTAGATAGATGATAGATGTGATGGTTGAAAGTATACAACTATATTGTTACCTGCCTCTCTTTCTTCTCTGCTGCAGCCGGGAAAGTGCCGTGACCTTTATGTTTGCCCATCACACAAAGCAGACAAATGCACTGCCCATCACTGCAAAAGTAGACTTCAAGCAGCTTGTTGGGGGATGCAGGACCTCCAACAAGTCCCTACATACTGCAAGGCATCATTCATACTGACCTGTTTCACCCATAAGCAAACTGTAGGGGGTCTAGCAGGAGGCACATGATGTCCTGCTGGTAGGTTAACATCAATATCCCAAAGGATTTCATAACTACAGGTGTCATGGTGAAAGGTCTACATTCTTTTAACCCATCAATAGAGAGTTTCATGGGGGCTGGGATAATAGTGGATTGTTTGAAACATGAGGGACAAAAGAAGGTGTGTAGAGATCAGTGTTCTCACTTTTTTTCCCCTTTAAATTTTTATATGTATATGTGTCCAACATTTAAATTCTATCTCGATATCTTTAGTTGGATTTTAAATCTGACTTTTGTAAAGTTAATAAAAAAAATTTTCCTGACATGTAGACAATATACATTCAACCTGTTCATGAAAAGACATTTATAAAGCTTTTCACTTAAGTACATCCTGTTATGGTTAATAACAGTGTTCCTGTTGTGAGAACATACTTTGTGCTCTGTGGTTAAGTGTGTCAGTCTGCTTTGAAAGAAAATGGCAGCTTTGTGGTTGTCCATCTTTTTCACAGAAACACCCCTACCCTAGTTTCATGTGCTCACTTTGTGGTAATAATAAGAAAACTAAAAAGCTGATGCAGTTTATAAAACGTATTACTTAATCTTGTTATGATGCAACATAGCTGTATTTCAATAACAGTGATGTTGTTGTTGTACCTGTTTTATTGTACAGAGACTGGTTCAGCTGTGGTCTACTCAGCAGTGAGAACTGAAGACGTCAGTTATGGAAAAACAACCATCAGAACAAGGAGGCCCAGGTACAGCTGCTCTTTATCTTTGACTGTGGACAGAGACAAGCTAGCTGCTCACCCTGTTTACAGTCATCATACTAAGCTAAGCTAACCACCGTCATGACTCCACCTCAGAGGTCAAACTTGTGAATTACATCAACCTCTCTCTGTAATTTATTTTAAAGAGATACGTAAAGCAAAATATAAGGTTGATTGTAGATTTGCCTCCCCACTTGCATTAAGATAATTCGCAAGAATACAACTCTGATATAGAGTTTTTTCTATGACTATAAGTAGAAGCAAATGGATGAATGGATGGAAGATATAGTACATTTTATGTACAATAATTTTAGAAGTCTTTTTCTAATAAATGTAAGTTTTTGTCTGTTACGTTCCCCTAAAAGGGTCCAGGCGATGAAGGGGGAAGTAACAAAAAGTGTCCGGGTCAGGAAAAGGAGTCAAGGAGGCAAAGGGGGTTAAATTAAAGAGTTTTATTAAAGTAGCTCAACTAAAAGAGACGGACAAGCCGCTATCACCATTTAAGAAAACAAGCAAAACTCAGGCGTTGGTCAATAAAGTCAAACGTACAGCTCACTAACTGCAAATACACCAAACGCACAGCTCACTTGCTGCAACCACCACAAACACTCAGCTCACTAGCTGTAACCACACAAACATACAGCTCACTAGCTGCAACCACACTAATTGCACTCTGGCCCAGAGCTCACCTTTCCCTGGGCTTAAATCTCTTTAATTACTGACAAGAGTCAGCTGCAAAAAAGAAAGGTGGCAAGTAAGGCAGGAGAGATGGCCGGACACGCCCACACAGACAACTTCAGGAGGCGGCCCTGCTAGGGCCGTAACATTGTCAGAATAGGTGACAACGTATAAGGAATATTAAGCACAGTGGAAACAGAAGACACGTTTTATGCACAGAAAAAGCCAAAACTGCTTGTTTCCATTGGTAAAGTAGACCCTTTCTGCTTTTCCTTATTTCCTGTCATATATCTCATATTCCAGTGGTGGATGTTCATAGTAAACATGGTTAGAGTTTTCTAATAATTTTATATTATTATCAATTTTTGCAAGTAATCCACAATCCAAAAGTTATCTGAAGCTGTTCATCCAAATGAAGAACAACACAAACTGAAAACAGAAATGGTGACACATGAATGAAGCAAAACAGGATAGAAAGACAAGGCCAGACAGACAGACGGGGAACAGAAAGGGAAGTGCAAAAGCTTGTAATCATGTTTCCTGTTGTTTGAACTGTGTGTGTTTGTGTTCAGACTTTAAACCAGAGCCAGACGTCGTCTACTCTTCACTGAAGTAGTCCACCAGTCCAACCACTGATGTCCAGTTGCTGGTCTCTAACTGGTCTCCCCAGCACCTCAGACCAGAGGACATCCACATGTTACAGAGATTTTTATGTTTTATGTCTTTTTATCACTGAATTAGACTCTGATGACCCAGAACTACTTACTGGAAGTCAGTTAATTAATTAATTAGCATGCAGTTATTGTATGTCCTAAGTTTCACAAGTTTTCCTTGTGTGCTTCTGTGGGTTTTACAAAGGTGTCAGTTGGAAATTTTGACTTGTTCTTGTTTAGTTGTGGCAAACTGACACGCTCCTCTCTTCAGAGCAGAAAAGAAACATTAAACTTCAAGTACAGACTAAAACAGTAGGAGCATCATTCAGTGTGTGCAAACTCCACAGAAAAGCTTCAGTACATGATGTTTGTGTTTGAAACTGAGGAGTTTTTAATTTTTGAATTCAAATTGATTCGAACAAGTTAAAATGTGGATAGGAATATGAATGAATAGGAAATAATCAGGGATATGTTTCATTACATGTTACAGTTATGCTTTTATAATACATTTTGACTATCAGGTCTCCTGTCCTGTCTCACTTATTAGTTTGTGATCTGTGTGTTTTGGTTCCAATAAATCTCATAGACATGTGACTCAGACTGGACTTCTTTCAAGAAAACATCCTCTGAACCAGCACAGAGTATTTCCTATTAGTTTAATGAAAGTCTGCTGCCATCTCCTGGTGAAACTGTGTTACAGCAGATCAGCTGCTTTATCAGGGCTCTAGACTTTTAGACTCTAGACTCCTAGACTTTTTGCCACGGTTGCACTGGTGCACCTAACTTTTTTTCTTAGGTGCACCAGCATAAAAGTTAGGTGCACCCAAATTTTTAACCACATCGCTTAAGCATGTTCATTTTTTTATTTTTTATTTTAACTGCTGTCCATACACACAATACTAATTTGTAAATGATTAACTAACCTTCTTGTGCTTGTGCTTAAAGTGCTTTGACATTCTTTAGCAATATCTTAGACAATGTTAAACTTAATCACCATCTCGGCCTCTGACGATGACCTGTTTGCTGCTTCCTGCAGCTGAAAGGCAGTGGGGAGAGGGGACAATTGGGCAGTGCATTTAACACGACATATAATGTGTCTTCTGGATACACTGTGCTTTTTCAGCATTCAGAGGTTGATGGCTCCGTGTCAGAGCACTGGCTATGAATTTCAGACGGATCAGGCCTTAACTTAACTAAAAAGTTATCAATAGTTCTTTTCATCTTTTCTTATTACCCACAGCTACATCCACTTCTGTCGGGCCTAGGCTGCTCACTAGGGCTGGGTTTAGCTGCCGTCATAGGCAACTCTCGCATTTAAATTCATTTTACTAGATATTTACGTTCCTTTAGTTAAAATATTAATAAATAAGAAATAAATAAATAAATAGTAATTCATGTTTCATTGTGTAGATTTATATGGTTAAATGAGTTATTTGTGATAATTGTGCAACCATTTCTAAAGTTCCATCTGTTGTTGCTAAGGGGTTTACACGTCTCCAGAAAGTTATGAAAAAGTGCCTTTTTTGGACCTTCCCCAGGACGTAAAGATTAAAGTTTTATTCTATTCTATTCTATTTTTATTCCCTTTGAGTGAGGTCAAAGAGGTTAATGTTTTATTTTGTTTCTTATCATTGTATGTGAATGCGCGAGTGTTGTGTGATATTCAAGTGCAATTACCCCAGTGTGAGTGTAAGGTGTACTTTATTGATCCTTTTGTTGGAATGTTTCGTCATATATAAGGACTTAAGGACTTTATCAAGAATATTAATTTAAGTTTGTATTTCTTTTCAGTTCTGACGGCATTGTATCGGCTGTGGTTGGACATAATTACATGTTAAGACATGTCTAAGAATCTGAAATAAATGTCAGTTAAAACACAAAGAACAAGTTGAGCTTTATTAAAACTCGAGGGGAGTAACACTGGGTATAGGGGTGGGCGGTATAAATGGTATACACCATCAACACCGCATGTCGATAGTGTCATCATCAAGCTGCACCTGTTTTGGTCAAAAGCATTGCAGCAGCTGCAAACAACATCATCTGCAAATTATGCCGGGCGACAGAGACAAAGCACTTTTGAAATATGGGGAAAGCCAAAAACTGTGCTTCCTCCACTTCCGTGGACATTAATGCTGAATTCTCTCACAGCTGCTCTATTCCCATGTTGTTGCAGTATATTAATAACTAACCTCGTATTGTGGATGGATTATCTCAGTTGTTCCTCTAACTGAAGTTTGGTCCGTTTATAGCATCCTGCCATGCAATTGCATTTGTCCCTAACCACCAGAAACCCTCACTTAACTTTTATCGAGTGGAAAAACTTTAGCGTTCATCCTTCAGCTTCACTGTGCTGTTATGCTTATGTAGCTGCTTTGCTAGCGACCACGTAGGACATCATTATATACCATCATTACATATCAGCTAGTCCAACTTCAGTAACCCTACAAACATTACTGCTGTTTAGTTTTCTCTCTTCATTTATGTTGGAAGTGATAGCAGAGCTGTACGTTGTAATTAGAGATGGCACGATGCCACTTTTTTATGTCTGATACTGATACCGATATAATAATTTGGATATCTGCCGATACCGATATGAATCCGATATAGTGTGTCTTTTAATCAATAAAACTGCTTTTTTTAAATATCTTGCTGCATTTTGTATAAGTTCATACTCAAGTTTAAATAAACAACAACACTAAAGCTATTCTGTTATACCTGTATGTAAAAAATACACTGCGCCCAAAATATTTCATAGTTCAGCAAAACTGATCAATTAAATAATCTTAAACCTACTCAATCCTCCCTATTCTACAGAGCCCCTCTGATGACATGGTCCAAAAAATAAATAAATTGTGGCCACGAAATACTACTTCAAGGCAACAAAATACGTATAACTTGCCCACGAAATACTTATTTGTGGCCATGAATTGGGTATAACGTGGCAACGAATTACGCATTTGTGGCCACGAAATAGATAACATGCGCACATCATATTGATACAATTCCTGGACAGCTGCGTAGAGACACAAGCATAAGAGTAGGCTAACCCTAAACCTATACACCATGGACAGAGACAGTCTGATTGAGTTTTAGTTTAGGCTGGGAATGAGCTACAAATGCATTTTGAAAAGCCTGGCAATGCAAGGAACCATTATTATGGAGAGACATTTAAACAGGATATTGAGAGCCAAGTCGCTTTACAGATGTAAGTATGACCTGAACGCCGGGATAGATTTTATTGTCAACCAACTGCAAGGGCCTGGAAAGGATCATGGTTATCGGTGGATGTTTACAAAGTTCAAACAACATGGCATTACTATCAGAAAAGACGACGTCAGGATCCTCATCTCTTTACTGGACCCAGTAGGTTCCCAGGTTCGCCAGACCAGACGTCTCAGAAGGAGGCAATATTTTGCTCAGGGGCCTAACTTTGTGTGGCACATAGACTCTTATGACAAACTGAAGCCATATGGGATATGTATTAATGGATGCATTGACGGTTTCTCACGCAACATCATTTGGCTACGGGCCACACACACTAACAGTGACCCAAAGGTTATCGGAGGTTACTTTGTGGAAGCAGTGGAGAGTCGTGGGGGTTTCCCCAGGCTCGTACGAACTGACATGGGCACTGAGAACGTGTTGGTCAGAGACCTCCAGCGTTATTTACGGAGAAATGACGGGGATGATAGAGCAGGAGACAGAAGCTACGTCACAGGAGCAAGTACCGCAAACCAGAGAATTGAGAGCTGGTGGGGAGTGATGAGAAAAGAAGGAGTTGAGCCATGGATCGCGCTTCTAGGAGAACTGAAGGACGAAGGATTCTTCTTTGGGGATTTCATTGACAAAGCTCTGTCACAGTTCTGCTTCATGCCAATCATTCAGGTAAATGGCCCATATTATGATAACCAGGGGTGGTAATTAATTACATTAAATTACGCTGTTTTAGCAGTAAGGGTAACATCTTAACGATGTAAAAGGTAATTTCGACGTTACCTTTACCGAACGGTAAATCAACCAGCCAAAGTTTTGAAATCAGGGAACACTTCGCCTATTGAACTGATCAGAAGTCAGCACGACTTAAATGTTGTTGTTTTTTTCTGATCGGAGGACATTGTCCTTGTCTGCGCTCATTCTGCATCAGCAGTTATGCTGCAGCTACCGATCTGTGACTGGCAGTCTGTCAAAAGCAGTCAGAGGCTTCACGCATCAGTAACTCTTCAGCGCTCTATCATATCATGTCACCGTGATGCATTTGGTACATTCAGGTCTGAGATGATATTGGATTCCCTCATGGGATTTAAAAATATTGATTTTGTCACCTGTTTTATGCACATAAAGTTGAAAAGCTTTGCGCATCCGCACCAAGATTTGTATTCACAATCCCTTTCTCAACTTTGTGCACTTTTAGTTTAGAGAACTGAATTAATCAAAAAAGATTCCCATGAGAACACCAGAGCATCATCTCACATCTGGACACCTACTCAATACATTTCAAATTGGAAAATCTTAGCACCATGGAAAGTTACCGAGGCATTTGGGCGCGTCATGCGCCGGACAAAGACGGGTGCATCTTATCCACTGATGCTGGAGGAGCACATGCTGGGATGTGGATTCTTTGTTCAGATTTCTCTGTATAGCAACTTTCTTTACAGTAATACAAACTGTTACTTTCACTACAACGTAGTTACTTTTAATAGAGAGTTATTCACTTACTTTTTACTTTTTTAAAGATGTTCCCAACATTAATGATTACAAGAAATCCAGACACCATAAACTCCAAATCACCTTAATGTAATCTTACATTGAGCCATTGTGAAATTGCTTATTTAATGAGTGACAAACTGATTAGATAATTTTATTTGCTTAACAAAAACTATTTTTGAGGCATTGTTTTGTTTCTGTTTGAGTTAGGAGTCACAGGTAGTCCTGTTTTGAGTTTTGGTTCCTTTGGGTAAATTTTCTTTAGGTTATTTCGTTAATTTTGTAGAAAAGCCCAGATCCCACAACTCACTGGTTTGCCTGGTGTGGTTCTTTCTTTTCTTTTCTTTTTTTTGCCATCA